AATAAAAATAAATAAACCTTAAAAAAATCAATTCCCCAAATTCATACACCTTAAAAAAAAACCCACAAGGAAATCTAAAGTCTTATTATTAGGTCTATTTGGATATAAAACAATTATTACACTCTATTTTCTTGGTAATGTCTATGCATGATGGGCCTCCAGACCAGGATTCAGTGTGTTGACTCAGACTTCTGAGTATCAGCCATGGTCTCTGTACACTCATTTCTTTTAATCCTGCAAAATGAAGCCTTCAAATTGTATTCTTGTATCAAACATCCACTGGGCATCATTCCCTCTTCCCTCTCATTTATTTCCCGTACTTGCCAAAGCTGTACACTCTCCTAGCATGCTTTTGAATAGAATTCTAAGACTTCCTCCACCCGCCTCTTTCTCTCCCAGTTTAGACATCGACCTGTTGGGTCCATAGACCATCTGCATCTCATCAGAGCATGCTCCCCGGGGTTACATTTCAAAAACTACCTCTTTATTTCCCCTGTGGTTTCTCTTTTTAGAATCCTTTGTGTCTCCCCATTGAACAGATCCTTGATTCGTTTCTATTTGATTTTTCAAGGGCTTCGTGCTTCCTTTCTCCTCAGTGGGATGGATGTTTTCACACAAAGCCAAGTGAGAATGTAAAACATCTGCATCCCTGGCTGAAGGAGCATCAGGGCTCCTGCTTTGCTAAGTAAAATATTCCAGGATTAATAATAAATAGCACATTGCCCTGGTCCTTTTGGGACTCAGCCTGGGGACATAAACACACTAAGTTTAGCATGCCCTTACATGCCATTTCACAAACAGAAACAGTACTTGGGGGTGCATTCCTGTTTCAGATAAACATTTAAAGAAAGGCTCACTAGCCTTGTCTTCTTTTTTTTCTCACGGCAACAGGATGAGGTGGTTCCCTGTGATGCCACTTTACTGAAGGATAGATGGTGGCTTTGAGACGGCCCTTGTAGTGAATGCTATTGGTGCCCCACCCAGGTCCCTCATATCCTTTTACCAGATCAGCTTCTACACATGAAGCTGGCACCTGCCACCTTCAGAGGACTGCCCTTGGGCATGGACACCACCTTGCCTATATGAAGAGCTGAAAAATGCCAAGATTTTTGTCCCCTTGTGCCCACTCCAGGGTTGCCCATAGACAATGACTGCAAGGTGTATAAATAGCTCAACTCCTATTCCTCAGGGCATCATTTACACTCCCCAGCACCCCACAGGATCGGGCTGAGTCTGGGAGTTGAGCTGAAATCACTCTTGCTTGGTTTCCTCCTCTTTCCCATCTTGCTTCCCCAACTCCCTTACTGGTTGATCTTGGGAGTACCTTCTTTAATAAATCATTTGAGCCCAAATGCTTGGCTCAGTGACTGGTTTGGGGGAAAAACTAAGGACAGCTCTGTTTTCTTAGCCCTGGGCTTCAGGGCCCTTCATGCCTCCCCACGGTGGCACTCCTCAGAGGTGACAAGATGCCAGAGGGGCGGCCTTCTCAGCCCTGGGCATGAAGCCCTGCATGCCTTTCAGCTCCTGGCAGATCTTGGGGAGGATGACTGGCAGGGCATCTAGAGAGGTCGGATCTCATCAGAAGGGCCTCCAGCCTCCACAGCTGCTCTGGCTGCAGGTCAGCCCCACACCAGCAGAGCCGTTTTACCTTAAGGGATCAGGTGCTCTGAGACAATGGGCTTCTCCACGCTAACCAGTGTGGATCCAGAATCTATCATGTGAAGAGTTGGTGCTGTCTGTGTAAAGCCAGCAACCGTTTTACAACCTGAAGGTACAGAGGAGGCCCCAACAAGGACAGACTGAATTTCTCACAAGTCCGAAGTATGGGTCTTAGACTTGCATTGAAACTGACTTAAAGCAAATAAAGTTACATCTTTCTCTCCCCTGACTGGTACACGAAGATCCATGCTGGACAGAAGGTAGGTGAGGTGACCAGGTCCAGAAGGTCTACAGGAAATGGACATGATAATGGAGACATCAGAGAATATGTCAAGATAATGTGGAGACATTTCTAGGAAACATGATTATTCAGTGCACACAAATAACACCATTTTTTGTGCCCTCTGGTCAGTCAATTATATTGACTATGACAAAAGGAAGTCCACACTCTTCATTCCTAATTTAGGAAGCGGACCCACCTCCCCCTCCCCTTAATAATCACAAAACTCGGGAGCGGGGGAGATCCCAGCTGTGGCAAGTAAAAAGATCCCTTCTTCCATCACATTACTATCCACCAGTGTATCCTTGCTCACAAAAATATCTTTTTACGGATAAATGTAGAATTTCAATATGATACACCAAACACCCATGAATATCTGTCTTTTCCTTTTGCTTTAGTCTCGAAGCTGCAAGTTCAAATTAGAAGACAAGATCTATAAAAAGCCCCTAGGAGGTGGAGAATCCAATCACTGCTTTGCCTATTGGAAGTCCGGCATGCCTCTTTGTACAGAAAGACTGGGGGAGGGCCGTGCACTACTGATTTCATGGCCTGATTTTCTTGCACTGTATACTAAGTGAGTGCTTCCTCAGCAGAATAAGGCACTGGAAGATGTTTTCCTGAAGCTTTAACATAGCAATGTTTTTATTTAAACCCAGAAACAGAAGTGATGTCAGTTAACGTTTATTGTACTAAAGTACTTGAGATACCTCAAGGCGCCCCCCAGCCTCGCTAAAGCACTTATTTAAAAAAAAAATGGTTTGGAGACTTCCAAGTACCTATTCCCCAGGTCAGATTTTTACCAAAAAAAAATTCAGAGGAGTGTATATACACAGTATATATATTGTTATATATTTTTTCTTTTTTTTTCTTACTAGCACCAATTTATCCTAAGTGACTAGTGTCTTTCTTAACTTTGCTTCTAAAATTACATCAGAACATAGGACCCTAACCAAGGAATAAAAGCAAAGGTAGTCATGGGGGCCTTGAATGAATCTGAAAGGGGAATGGGGTCTCCGCACACACTAGCCAACCCCAGCAACAAAGACCTCATCAGGCAGAGCTGATTGAACTGGGTCGCTACCACCTAGCCTGCTGTGTTATCTGAAAGAAAACGTGCTCCTCTGGAGGGGGGAAGCTGCGTGAAATGGAACCAGGTACTAATTTAGATGCTTCTAAGAATAACCGCTGGGCATTTGCTGGGATGTCTTATCACATTTGTGTTCTCCTTGTGGTACTTTAACCAGGACCCATGTTGAAATTAATGCGGTATGACCAGTCCATCAAGGGCACGATTACGAAAGATGAGACCATTAGTGAAGGCCCAGGGATATTTCCTTAGGTTGGGACCACCCACTTTCTAACCCCTGTCAGAAAAATGCTAGGTTTTTGCTCAAATCCTTTAGAAGATTCCAAGTCTTTTAGGAAATACTACAGAGTTTGCTCAAATCCTTTAGAAGATTCCAAGTCTTTTAGGAAATACTACAGGCTCTCTTCACAAACACCACTGGAGTCTCCACTCACTTCCACCACCCCACCCAATAAAGAGCTGGGCTGGTTCTCATGCACACACACTTTGTGTGTGTGTGTGTGTGTGTGAGAGAGAGAGAGAGAGAGCTCATGAGAGAGAGATATCAATTCTTGGGTCTAACACTGGATCTTTTAAAATCAACAGTACAATCATATTTTGAGCATCCTTCAGACAATGCAATCCTGAAATATGTTATTCAGCATTGATCAAAGGCTTACCTAATATTGTAAAGAAACAAGCAAATGCTGATGGAGCTGACCTGAGCTCCAGTCCTCTATTAAGTTAGCCTCTCAAAGAAATATTTTCATGAGGTATCTTAAGCTGAGTTCTCCCAGAAGCAGGCTGTGAGACAGAGATTTGAATGCCAGTAGTTTATTTAGGTGGTGGTCCCAGGAAGGACAAACTGTAGTTAGACAGGGAAGTTCCCATTATCAAGACAGTCACCACTGGGGGTCACTGATGCTCAATGCCATTGGGAAACTCTGAGAGTGCAGAACCTGCCTCCGTCTTATCTTACCTAAGGGTCAAGGGGTATGATGAATGCAATGACCAAATGCAATCAATCATTTGTTGAAGGATGATGGGATTAACACTAATTTCTCAGCACCTCCTGTCTGCCCATATATATGAACCAGTGGGCTTTGGGAGCCCAAGAAAACCCTTAAGCAGAGTTGCAGGAGTGTGGGTTGGAAGCCAGTGGGTCAGCATACATATTAATGGTGTAAGCTTAAAAAAGCCCAGCTACCTTTTTTTTTCAGGGGAGGTAGAAGGATCTAGTTTTTAGAAATATTTGGTATAAAAAGAGATTAAATCTGTCATTTACAAGACAGAAGTAGAATACATTTCCCCAGCACCCATCTTTAGATAAGGAGAAAAAAAGGAGTAGGGGATGTAACAAAATGGGTAATATTTGCACCTCCAAATGAACTTGTGTTCACTTTCACTTAATATACAATTAGGGCCACACCATCTAAGGCATTTCTCTGTTTGCCTTTGCTGCCAGAGAACTCAGAATCAGAGACAATTGAGGCTGATCATTTCGCCAGATGCAAACGTGGACGCTCCATTTCACTCTCTCGTCCCCTCTAATGTTCTCTTTCATTCATTCTTACCCTGCTTCTAGATCATTTTGATTCCTTGTAATTACTATTATTTATGCCTTGCTTGCTTTCAGAAATGGTTTGATATAATTTACAAAACTGCACATCAAAAAATATACATTTCTTTTCTCGAAATGTATATGAATGAAATATATTTGTAGTAGCTAGACAGCCCCGGTTAAAAAAAACTAAGCCAGGGTACTACTTTGTCTCTTTAATAAGAGCTGAATTTCAGAGGTGCAAGATTATCCGAGAATGTCGGCAAAGAAAACAGATCCAAAGTGAACACAATTCGTGACCCCCTTACCTAGCTGGTCTTGGGGGTTGGGTGATGGAGGCATGTTGGTCTCAATTCTTAGTATACTCTTGGTATCCACCCATTCTCACTTGTCACCAAAATCAAGGAAACAGTTTGTGACAGAATTTCCATTCTGTTTGGAAAAGGCTTTAACTTTCCCACTGGGCCTTTGTTCATTCTGGAAACCTGAATGAACATGAGAGCAACACCCAGAGACAAGCACTGGCTGGGCCCTCCTCTCTTCTTCATTTCTCCTGTTCAGCTTATATTTGAGTGTAGTGTCTTTGGGTCAAACCCATTATCTTTTACCTCCACAAAGGTCTCCCCCAACCAGGCATAATGACACCAACTGGATTCCCCACCGCAAACCCTTTTTATCTCTTTCCAGCCAATGGAACTCTGTCCCCCTGAAGTTTTTCAGCCCTCTGTGGGTGCGAATGAGACAGTATCCATGCGAAATTATGCTTGGATGGCACACACTGCTATTTATTCATCCGGCAGCAATTTGGAGGCTGAGGCTTACAATTAGCTATTTGATCTTAATCAGTATTGTCCTTGGCTCCTGGTACACTGTGTCTTTCGGATACCATTTTTCCGGTGTTTGGATGGCCTACTTAGACAGCAGACAGTGCCTGTGTCTAAGAGACAGGTCAACTTTGAAAAATGCTCAGAAAGTACTGGCCATTTTACTTTTGTTCAAAATCAACCTGACACGTCCTTATTTGGCGGAGTAAATGAGTAACCTACGTAAGGGGTAGAAACTTAGCTACCCTCCACCTGGTGGACCTGCTTGGTGACAGTCTTCTCGAGGCTTCCCCAAATCTCAGGTTTCTGAGTCAGCTACTGGGAATGAGGTGGGAGGTGGATAACAGTGCCTTCTGGGGAAAATGTCCCTGAGCGGTGTTTATAGTCAATTCTTCAAAATATAAGAAATACTCAGCATGGAAATCACCCAAACTAGGCAGTTCTGTTCCATTTAGCCTTGGGGATGAAGAGAATGAGCTGTCGAGCACGTCTGAGTCCTAAAAGACTTTGCCCACTTAGTAATGCTCATTGCCACCGTCACCATCTCCAAAGGCTTTCCTACAGGAAGTTGTGGCCAGGAACCCTGTGGTATGTGACACTCTCCTCTGCACTTGAGAAAGGCTAAGACTGGAGTTGTTTTATGGTTCTGCCAAATAGGAGGGAAAAAATACACTGTACGGCCCTGCCTTATTGCCCCAGTTCCTCGTACCTAACAGACACTCAAAAATGTTTGGCTATATGGGTCTATAAAGTGACGAGGATCACAGTACCTACCCCATGGGGACGCTGAGACAATGAAATGAGACAAGGTCAAGTAAAGCACATAGCCTGGCCCATACTGAGAACAGAGATGGTAGAGACTACTGTTGTGGTTTTTAATACCTGGATGCCAGTGGAAAGGTCTTATGTTTTGTAGAGAGGAAGATTTTATCATCTGAAGCAGGGTGAGGGACAGGAAGTGAATGCCCCACGAAGCAGGAGCCTTTAGAGAAAAGTGAGGGGGGCCTCTAGCTTCTGTCAAGGGGCTGGTGACAGTCTCCGGGCCCATAGAGGCAGGGATGTTTGTTCCCACCAGAAGTTAATTCTGCTTTGCTCTCACGTTCTCCCACTCTTTGCATCCTCCAGTCTCTTCCCTCGGTGACAGGCAGCCCACCCCCCCTCTAATGGATTACCTCTTAACCCAGAACCAAAATAAAATCTGCCTCCTGCATTAAGTCCTGCCTCAGTGACCTCATCTGCCAAAGCAGAAGCCAAGAGGGCCCTGTCAGGGGCAGGCAAGTGGAAGGAATTCTTAGTAAAACGATGGTGGGTCTGGCCCTCTCCACCCTGATGGGTGCTCCATCCTGAGCTCTTGGAGACAGTCAGGCTGGAAAGTTGACCGTGTGGCCTCACCTGTCCTCTTATTATCTACTGGAATGATGTCCATAATGAAAAGGATTGCTGACTCGCAAAACGCACCCCTAATATGCCAGCCACCAAGCATCTGACCCTGAATGGGGTATAGCAACGCTTTGGTTAGGAGGCCAGAGACCAACGCTTTGGTTAAGAAGCCCATGG